TCGTAAACGGATATATGAGTTTCATTGATAATACATAAACAATTTCGTTGCATTCCTGACTTCAGTATGATTTAAAATATATATATATATAAAAAAATATGAAGCAAAAAATCACAATTTTTAACAACATCAAATACATGTACAAAAATAGGGGTTTTCTTGTATAATGAAAGATGCTATAAAAACATTAGTTCACTTTTTAAATTTTTATTTTTATAATATAAAGCATGTTTGGATGCCATTGTTTAACTTTTTTCAACATTCTCTACACTTCCAGTAATTTAATAGTTTGAACAAATAAATGAATAATTTCCGGAATTCATTATGTACCAAATACCGATATTTTAGTTTCCGTATCGCGATACGTACCACACAATAAAAATCACGATATACCGGTAAACCGATAAAATCGCGCATCCCTACAATTTTGTATGAACTTATTTTAAATTATGGAGGTTTTAATTAATAGTTAACTGCAACAATTTCATTAATAAGCTTATAGCGTGATGTTGATCTTAAAAATAAAACTTTATACGTCTTTGTATCGACTCTTTCCACGGCAGTTTCACGAAATTACTCATAATTAATTTGAAATTCATAATAATACTGCTATACAAACAATATTTAGACTTAATTAGATGTTTATACAAGTTCCCATCTCGCTTTAATTCACCTCAGAGCTTACTAAGGCGAAATGGGAATACCGAATTTTGGGAACAAGCCGTTCTGCACTTCTGACAGTGATAATGTGGATGTGAAAACAGACAGATCCTGTAATTGATTCTATAAAGATGTTCTCTGTGTCTTTGTTTTCCAAAAAAGAAAACAATAAATAAATAAATAAATAAATAAATAAATAAATAAATAAATAAATAAATATACTGATGGAAGATTTTAAAAGTTTGGGGAGGAAACCATCAATTTTTTCACTCCTCACATAAATGGGTATGCACACATACATCCCACTTCTTTAATTAATTTATTCATTTTGGGGTGGAGGGGTGGGGGTGTTAGGCAACATTACATTATTTCCTTTAGCACTGCTGCCTGACATGGTACATTTTTTTTTCTGCGCCAGCTGTGACCATAACTTCGTTATATACAGTCCAATTTATTGACTTTTTTTTTAATCAGAAAAGTGCTTATTTCCAACTTTCCAACATGAATCATTTTTTAATTTTTTTTTAACAAGTTATCAAGAAAAAAAAAAGGAAAAATTTTAAAATGTCACAAAGAGGTGTTGCAGGATGTCAATAAGACATTTGGTAGGAATTTAGCCAGTATCAAAAGGCGCATAGTGAGACACAGAAATTCATTCACATAACCCGTTTTTTTTTTCAGGTTTTTAATTATGTTTCCAGTCTTTGTTTTTATTCACCCATATTTAAATTAGAAAGACATATAGCTCACATGCATTTTTAAAAGACTGATAGTTCCTTTTCAAATTTCAAGCCACCTTTTACCGAAAAGACACATTCCAACAAATTTAAAACATTGGAAATAAAGTTGGTTTCTCTGATCTGTTTATTCTATATTTTCGATCATACGATGGGTGAAATTTTTCAGTCTGAGCAATGAGACTTCTATAGTTCAGGTATCAATTAAATTTATGAAAAGATGCCTTTTGACAAAATAATTGTTATAAACAGCTATAAAGAGAAAATATAGCTATCCAAGTACAATATTTTCTGAGGATTTCAATATGTTTCACGTTTCATTCTTTTCGATATCTTTATTAAAGAAAGAAAGACCGTGACGTCAAACACGTGCTTTCAAACTCTGCGCGTCATTTCCTTGACAATTCCGGATGGAGTCTTTAAACCAATAAAACGCAACACGTGTGCATGTGGTGAAAGAGCACGTGTCCACTTGTCTTCTGTCACAACTTTATAAATAAGTTTGTTAAAACTACTGCAAAGCGTTTGGCAATATAGGACGGAAATGGCTTATTTGTTCGTGTCAATTTTGAAAGGCCAAAATCGGCAATAAAAGCCAGAGGAAGCGATTTTTTTCGGAGTGGTCAAAAGGTCATATCGATGGTTTTATCATTATTGAAAATAGACCACATTTTGGATTTCTCTTCAATTTCTGCAGCATCCATATTTCCATGAAGAAAATTATGAGAAAAAATATAAATAAGAAAGAAAAAGAGCACATCAGTTAAAAAGTAAACTTTTGTTCGAGTTTGTCACTTTTAAATATCAAGTGTTCATTTAATTATTTGAGGTTGAAGATAAAATACTTTATTTTAGTTCTCCAAAGAATGCACCCATACATTTGATTTTTTTTTTCACTTACTAATGTAATTTTGAATAAAAACACAGTTGTTCTATAGTAGCCTTTGAAAAAGTTGGTTTTTTTTTTTTTTTTTTTTTTTTTTTTTTACTTTTTTCTCTTAATAAATTGAAAAGAGAAGTGTGCTTGTATTTGGATGCCTTATGATGACACAATATTAAAAAAGAATTATGAAGTTATCCGAGTGAACAAATTTAAGAACAGTGTATTATTCAAAATTACATAAGTAAATAAAAAAAGATTATCAGATCTATGTTGACGTGGATAGCCTAAATTTAATCCCGTTTAAAATAAAATCTTCCACAGAGGAAGGGAGCACGAGATTAGGTGTTCATACCGATGAGAGGGGGGAACTATGTCACGTGATATTCCAGACTCCCGATGAAAGGTCGGCTTCTGTATGAAGTGTTCAAACGAAAAACATACCCCCATAGCTGTTAACGTAAATCTACTTTGTTGGAAATCTATTCTAAGGTAAGTCTTTATGCATTTTCATTTTTTTTAATCAAATAACTAACACTGCAGATATATTTAGATTTGCTTGAAATCATTTAAATAAAGATGTATTTAGGTTTGATATTCTAAAGATATTGAGTGAAATTTTCTTCATGGTTTACCTCATTTAATTCTTTAAGCTAAACTTGTTTGAACATACTTGTATTTTATTGACAAATAATCAATAGGATCGGAAACACACAATAATTATCATGCAAAATAAATTAAATAATATTTACACATATACAAATGATAAAGTTGTTAATACATGTATAACTATTTAGACCTACAGGAATAATTTATGAATTTAGGAGCAGCGAAAAAATGGCATTGCTTTACTCGAATGATAGGTTTTCATTGACCCAAAGTAGCAAGTGTACATTTGGATACTGGATTTAAAGATACATATGGTGTGTAAATTACGAAATTTGCAAAATAAAATAAAACCAAATTAAAAATTATTTACACAAAGGCCAGTAAATAAACCATTTTAATTTTTGGACTGAAAGAGAGGTGAGTGGTAGAATGGGGGAGGAATAACATATGGAGAACTTAGGCATTAGACACGCCCCCTTTAGTATATATTATTCTCCTCGGCAACCTTCAACTGCAATAAACATAAATCCCCAGGAGAAAATTTTCATTTAATATTCAGTTTATTTGGTAAGTAGTCTTATTTTTATTTTTTTCTTTATTAAAATTTGCTTCCTTCAATAAAAATTTCGACTTGAAAATTTATTTTTCCTATATTGCAATACTTCCAAGACTTTGATATATATATGAGTTGTATGGATTGTAAAATATTTAGATGGATTCATTGCTCAGATTAAGACAAATTTTAATAAAAATTGTGAATTGTAAAATGTAAATATTTATGCATAAGAATTTCAGCGCAATGGTCAAAGAAAAAATCGTCTAGGATCGGTCTGTTTCTCAAAAATCCGGGAAAAGTGGAAGGACAGAAGTATATTTATGTTTACGACTCGGAACAATGGTCTCCTATGTTCCAATGAGAACGTTTCTCTTATCTCATTCTTATTTGACATCTTATATATATGTACAACTTTTTACCGTTATCTTAAAATCTGGAGTAGAGTTTGGAGTGCGCTGACGCATGAAATACAAGGACCCCTTCTCTCCTTGTATCCTTGTTGAAGGGAAAGCTTGTTTGTTGATGTCGCCGATTTAACTGATCGGAAAGCCCAGAACATAGGGACACATAGAAACGCTCAACTCTGATTTGAATTCTGGACATTATATATAAAAACCAATATCACATTGACTGAATTGAAGATTATGAGGAATTTTGACGTATGAAAATGTATATTTAAACATCTCAAAATTTTTAAAAGTATCTTTTAATCTTGAAGACATCTGGATGACTTTCCAGTGAGCACGTTCAAAAAGTAAAACAAAATGAAATGAATAGTGGCATTTATTAATTATACGTCACAAAATCTTGGCACATATAATTCTATAAGATTTTTAGAGGCGACAAGATTTTTAGTATGTGTCGATTTTCATAAGATATTTTCTACAAGATAATGTTATAAATGTATTTCCCATGATTTGTGATTTGGTGTGATTTTTATCCAACAAGTTAGGTGTTTTCTATCCTCTCTTCAGAATCTTTTTTTTTGGGGGGGGGGGGGTAGAAAACATACAACTCGTTGGATAAAAAATATATCCAATTACAAAAAATTGCAGATTCTTTTATCACATGTTTATCACACGATTTTATGGGCTTTTTATGCCCCATTTCGGCGTCTGTAAAAAGGGTACGTAATAAAGAGAAAGGTGCTTATAATATGACATTATTTTCTGAACGATTTAGTTAGTTACATCAAAGCACAAGGGAATCGGTAATATAACATTACTACATGTATATATACGAGGCGGATGGGATATATGAAAAAATAATCCAATGATTGGATATAGGGGTAAACATGTAATGTTTCTATAACCAATATTCTAATAATTCCTCTTACAACATCTGACATTAATACATGTATAATCAATGATTAATTTAGAAAAAAATGTACTGATATTATAAAATTGCGAGATATTCTTTAAAAATATAAAATAAATTACAGCGTTGGATCACTTTTCTCTATATGCATATTATATTCTAATTTACTTTTAAGGGAGAATTTTTTTTAATTTCAAACATACTCTGAATGAGGAATTCATATTCAGTATTTGTTTTTCAGTGATGAGGTGAAGAAATGACGACTGATTTCGGAAACAGTCCTATACTCATTTCCGCTGGAGCTGCTCCCGTGTGCTTTGGTGACGTCTTGTGTCCGTCTGTCTGTAAGCAACCAGAATCTCTTAGCTCCACCAGAAGCTTGTCATGTGACCGAGACGAAGTTTTATGTAAAGAATGTGACGACAGTGATGATAACGTGTTTTATGACGTAAAACCAAAAGACTCTGGTTACATTTGTCTTCAAAGTGTTCCCCTCCTAACGTCTCGACCATCATATAACAGTTCCTCCTCAGACGGTCTTCCTCAGGACGGACCCCTGGACCTTAGACAACGCCGGTCCAGTTCCACTCAGGCCAACGATAACGAAAACGAACCCGTCGCCGTTCAAAAATTACGTCATAAGCGAATGTTCACAAACAGTCGTGAACGCTGGCGACAACAGAACGTCAATGGTGCATTTGCCGATCTACGAAAACTGGTTCCAACTCATCCACCAGACAAAAAGCTCAGCAAACACGAAATTCTTCGTTGCACTATACGTTACATAAGACTTCTGGAAAATGTCCTCGAATATCAAAGTCACGGTGACGTCAAGCGCGTGAAAACTGAACAAGACATTACAGAGAGCTGGAATAGGGATTACCACGAGGAATCGTCAGATGATGAGAGTCTTCATTCAGCATAGAATTTTTTCCTGTGCTTTTTATCGTGAAAGTGTTCTTTTGTACATATCTTACGATGTAAAGTGGGCGAGATAATATTATTTCTGTGTTATGCGCACAATATGTATAAATTAAAACAAACAAACAAACAAAAACTGCTGTTAAAAAAATATATAAATTGAATGTTATGAGTTTTTTTTTATATTGTTATATTTGCAAGACGTCACTTGGCTGACGATCTGTAGCTCACTGGTCTGAAAAATATGGATGGATAGAGAACAAAGCGGATAAGATGTCCCCGTGAATGGACGATCAGAGAGCTACATTTTCATGCATTCAAAAAATTGCGCACGATTCGAAGATTCTATACTCGTATATCTCCGTATTTTTAGGAGCAAACTCGTGTATCTTCCAAATAATATCTTCCTGATATATTCCTTACACCCTTCGTTTATAGATTCCCTGTTTAAGATAGTTAAGATTAAAGTCGTTGATATAAGAATGATCTCTTATTTAATTACATATTTAGATATATTTCTCAATATATGCAGAGTTATATCAGTTTGTACTCTAAATGTCCAGTGAGTACTTTTTCTCTAATACCTCGGACGAAAACTTTTATGCTTGATCGTTAATAGTAAAAGTTAGTTAAATATTAATTTCTGAATGTGCAATAAAGAGGTTTTTGAATATCTGGAAATATTCACAATCTCAGTCTTTGCGCGATAGCGGATCTCGATCGCAAGCTTAGTCCGATATACCGCGCAAAAAATTATTTTCCAACATTCAGTCAATGATTATAGGGATAATTCTAGCATCATCGACTTTAATTTAAACAGTACCTTTATAAAATAAAACAAATTTTAATATTCCATTATATTTCAGTAAATCTAGCTGTCAACAAATACAAATAATACAAGTACCTGTCAAATAGCGTCATAATTTTCTCAAACGATCGAAATTAATGATACATTGTATTTACAGATTTTGTAATGAATATATAGAGAATTATTGAGGATGAAATATATATAGATCTGTGTATTTGGACCAACTTAAACCAGAGAAATGTTCTTTTTTTCAAACTTCAGTGGCGAATCCGGTATTCTTGAAAATCGGGTGGGGGCGAACTGTTGGGGGTCGGGGTGGGGACCCAAGGGGCAAAGCTCCCGAAAGCTCACGGGTTTTGGGATATTTTGGAACAGTTATTTTGGACTTATTTCAGCTATATTTTAGGTATAATTAATGCAATATCCCGCACCAAAAAAAGAAGAAGATTTATTAGTCATGTTTATTTTTGGACACAAAGGGGGGGGGGGGTGCACCCCCCTGCCCCCTCTAAATCCGCCAGTGACCTTTGTAATCTTATAAACTGAGTAAATAATGTAGAAAACTGGCACGGTGGTGGTTGAAGCATAAATTGAGTTGTCGAAAATAACACCTAAGGACGTCAGAAGGGGAGGAGTGTGTTTGGGGTGTGATCGCACCCCTTCTGCAAAAAAAGGAAAATATTATTTTTGGAAACAAAATAAAAGTTTTAAAAATGCTGCTGGATTCTGTTTATTATAGCTAATAGGAAAAGTTCCAGAATGCAGCGGAACCCATATATATATATATATATATATATATATATATATATATATATATATATATATATATATATATATATATATATATATATATATATATATATATATATAATAGCTTGTAAGGAGACGGTACCCCTCGCAGACCCTCCCCTACATCTCCAATCCAGAAACCTGATGACTGCCCTGGACACATGTGTATACCCCTTTCCTTGTTACAATCGAGTGAGTTAAATTGTTAAATTAATACATGTATACACAAGAGGGTAGCTATTGATGCCTCTTATGTATCTGACGAACACAATTAGATTTACACATTTTATGAAAATAATGAATTAACCTGCAGTATAAATATTTCATTTCTTCATTAAGCTTTCAAGAGTCTTCAACTATATCTTATGAAATAATCTTTGGCAATTTAATATTATTTGTTGTTCAAATTTGTACCACAAAAAAGAAAAATGAATTAAAATCATGACATACCAGTGATGTGGTATACTACTCCTTGGACATGTACAAATTATAAGAAATTGTTTATTGTTATATGCTGTTTAAGCATAGTTTATTTTAGTTTTAAAGTTGGATTTATGTCCTTTAATTTTACAACAAGCTTTAAAGTTTAAAGTTGTTCTCAACTTTCTCTACATGCCCAAAAGACAGCTTTTTCAGATAAAGAGAGAAGAAAGGGGGATGAGTGGAGCTTCCTAGGACCAAAATATTTAGATAGAAGTAACAAGAAAACTATACCAAATCGACGTATTTTGCTTTATAAATGTTGACACTGTGGATTATACATTCTATTCAACATTATGTATGGGTTTTTTTTTCAACACACGCATTTGATTCTCGCGTTTCTTGTCTTCTTTGTTTCTTTTTCTACATTATGCTTTGTTTATTTAGTATTAAAACTTTATGCACTAGTATACACCTTGACTTTGATGTGTGTGTGGGGGGGGGGGGGGGGGGGCTAAAATAGGCTGTCTGCTGCCCAATCACAGTCATTTTTGTGAATAAAATACTGTTTAAATTAATTTTCGTGCCACCTCTTCCCCTTCAAATTACAAAACCGCAACAAATCCTGGCAAGACACCGAAAACATTCATCATATTCCATCTTGTTTGAATTAAAAAAAAACCTTAGTAATCATTGACAAGTAAAGAAACCTACAAATTTACGAAGGAGAAACGAAGATCCAAAGCAAGATCAAGTAGTATCCTTCAAAATGGTAAATTTCGGTGTTTCATTTAAATCATATCCTCCCTCACTAAGTACGAAATTTACAATCGTTGTGCACATTAAGCGAACCTGTGAAGGAGCAGAAGCAAAAGGAAATTTCATAAATCTGCCACCGAGAGTTGTCTTGATGAAAACGATTAACGTTCAATGAAGTGTATTAACAATTTAGAAATTACACATTACAAGGCCGTAACTACCATTGAGGCAACTGAGGCAAATGCCTCACTAAAATTTTAGAGTTTTCTGAAAATTGAGAATGGCTTTACTTTGATCTGAAATTATCTGGGTCTTTGTACTAATTAAATTCATTATAATACTTTCAACTTTACTTTCAATTTCTGAAAATCGATCATCTCACCAGGTGCTTCATTATAGTTTAGAAAGCATGTAAAAAATAATTCAAAACATGTGAAAAAGATTAAGTCTTTAATGTGCTAAATTCCAAGTTTTGAGACCCCCCCCGAACCCCCATCAGGGCACTACCCTCGACCCGCTTGGGACTTGGGTGGCCCCCAGAATCCTTGCCTCACTAAAAATTTGAGACTATAGTTACGGCCTTGCATTATAAATTACTCATATATGTAATAGTTGTCTTAATGAAGTGTTTAATTAAGATGATTTTCTTCCAGGAATTAGGACGTCAGTGCAAGTGACCGACACTTAATATCATCAGACATCATGCGATATTTATACAGTTAAAGTTCTTTAGCCTCTTGATGTGAAACTTATCCTGTGAAAAATTTGTACTACGTCTATCCGATTTAAATCCTCAGCTTCCAACAAAGTGGTTCGTAAAAGAATTTGCCATAAAGTATTTTAACTGGCTAATTTTATATCTTTAATGTCCCACACCTGAGTGAGGATTACAAATTAAAGAGCTTTAAATTGAATTGGTGTTCGAAGTGTACCACTTCATTTACCACAAGGACACGCTTCATCTTAGCGGCCCAAGTTTCCTCTTGACATCTTTCTACGCGTGCTTCCCCTTTTGAATGCTTTCAAGAAATCACTTAGTAAAACAGCTATATTTTGATGAATTTCGGAAGTACTCAATCGTGCATACAGCCAGATAAGAGCGGCGTTAGGGGACGATAGGCGGCTTTTGTGAAGGGCGATTTTTTTTGTTTGGGGATCAGGTCTATCACAAGAAAACATCTGCGGCCAGCGTGGCTCAGTATTTGATTTATAAGCTGCTAATAAAGAAATCAATTCGAACGTCATCAAAGATTTGATTGAATTCGTGAGTTTTTGGACATATTGCAATGCGGTCTTTCCGTCGTTAACGGACCTTTATCTATAGGAAATGAATCCTGTATCGATGGTCTTTTTAATTATTGGTATTAATTTCAACGTAGGAAGAGCTTGGTTATGAAAGGACAAAATCCTTTAGACATTTAATTTCCACAAATAAAATTGCATCATATCCGGGACTGTCAAACGATACTTCCAACAGTTGATTTCCATCATGCTGCATTCCTCACCGATTTTTATAGAAATGAATTTTTTTTTTAAATTATGGATGGTAAAGAAAAGCAGAAATTACTATGTATTTCGAGTTTGCATTCTTTCAATGGAATGCTTTTTGTACGAGGAGACCCCTCACCCTTCTCTAAACAAAAAATGAGTAAAGGATAGTTGCAGATACAGGCACGTTGCATCCTATTTCAAAGTGGCAAAGTGTCGTGGGGGGGGGGGGGCAGTAAAAGTAAATGACAAGATATCTTTCAAAAATTGTCAAGGTGAAAAGTGGCCAAATCGAAAAGGGGGGAGGGGGGTTAGGTTCAATCTTTCTCGACCAAAAAAAAATTCAATAGTATAAATTTCACGTGGGAGGATTTGACCATAATGCAACAAAAAGTTGAGGGCAGCCTTTTAATGACAAAGTCCATATTAATTTAATAGCTAAACATTATTCTTTAAAAAGTGGGGGAGGGGCGATACTACTACACGTCTAAGATAGAAGACAAGAATGCCCCGTCTCTGAAGCCAGAATGACAATTTCATTTCAAAGGCGTTACTAAAATAATGTTCATAATAATATAATATGCTATTGAATGTTCAAGGAAAGAATTGTAATTGTTTTGTAAGATTTGCAAAAATCAAGAATTCAAAGGATTATAATATCAAAGAACTTATAGATAAAGACTAACCCTGTCATTGTTTTAACATTCACAAAATTCAAAAGGACTAAAACAAAGACTTTTTGTAAGTATAAATTTGATAGTACAAGCTCAAAGAAACTTAACGTGTTCCAGATGTTTGAGGTTTATATATAATTTACTTTCACTTTTATTCGGTACACTTAATAGCAATTCAAAGTGACATGAGTGCAACTAGTAGTAATCTTCTAAATAAGGAACAAAAATTCAGCA